GCTTTTTGCTAAGTAAATCTGTTTCTTCCCAATAACAATAGCAGTTAGCACAGTGTTCCCTGTGGTACAATTAAAATCCCCTCAGAGTCGTTACTCTGCCTCCCAGCCATGCCTGCTGTTTTTCGGCCCTCCTGAGTCACGTCAGCTCCTCTGCCGTAATGTATAATTCACAAGCCAACAAACAGCTCTGAGGACTCACCTGGAGGCTCAAAGGCCCAGCAAAGCAGAACTGCATTGGGGAAGATATTGCACATGAACCTTGGAGTCGTTTGTGGAGATTGAGGTGCATGTGACATGGAGCCTCCAGACAGGCAGGGCTCTCGTGATCTCAGGGTCACCCTGATAATGTCTCTCTTCCGGTGGGACCCTCTACCTTCCTGCCTTTCTCAGTAAGGCGTGCATTCTTTTATTTTTGCTCCCGACCTTTCTTCTTTCGTCTTCTCAAAGACAGTTGTGGTGTCCTCTAAAACTAATTTGGATGCATATCTTCTATTTGCAGTCAATTCCATAGCGATACGTTAAAGGAACCTGTCGAGTCTCGGAGTGGTTGCTTTTAGTTAAAACCAATTAGAAATGACCAGAAATAACAGCGCCTGGGGACAAAGAAGTCATTTTTCTTTGAGCCTCCCCAGGGAGTTGGCCTCTCCATGGATTAAGTGTTTTAGTATATTAGGGGGCAGCTGATTAGACTCATGGAGGTTTTTTTAATCATTAAATTTTTGCATTTATAGTTTTTGGCTGTAATAAAGCTAATAATGCTAAGTGTGTCACAGCAAAATGGAGGATTGTTTAAATGACTTTGTGTATGAAACTTGGTCTTTACAAAGACTGCACAAGAAAACCACAGAGGTCTTTGGAAAAGTTAATTCTTCATATCTTATGACTTTTAATGAATTTTGCATGAGTTTATCATAAGAAATCTTTATATTTGAAAGGTACTTTAAGGTACTTTTAATTGTGATGCTTGTCATACAAAATGTCTTATAAACCAGTGGGTGAAGTTAAATGAAACACTTAAAAAGTAATAATTGGGTGTACATTTAGTACGGGACATCTGATTAACTTTTGGTGTCAACCTGATTCAAGATGGCAGCCAAGGCTAATGGAGCTAAACACAAAATGAGTATAGCTCTGACACTTTTACACATATTGAGGCATGGTGTGCTAGTAGCTGAAGGTCATCCTCAGTGCTCAGTGCTAACATGTTGCGTTGGGTCTTATTGTTTTTACTTTGGCATGCAAGGTGCAATATTTCAAGGAATACAAGATTAATCAAGAAATGCATTCACTGCTGCAACACTTAACAGCAAGTACGAATTTATGCTAAGTATTAGTACTTTCGAATGCTCAGCATCGTGAGTATTCATAAACAACTGGAGCTGTTTTTTGTAGCTTTGTAATAACTAGAAAATAACTTTATTTTCTTCCTATAAGTGCAGCTGTTGTTTGAATAAGGCAGGCAAACAGCGTCCAAACATTTATTGTGCTCGTAGCTATTCTGTCTAGGATGATCAAAAATTAACCTTAAGTGAAAACTAAAAGCAAACATTCCTAAACAGCTTCCATCATTAGCGCATTAACGAAAGCTTACACTATCATCATATTTTATTTATTTATCCAATCTGAGAGGTCTTATTAACTAATTTACTGTGTATGTAGTATGTAGCATTCTCAAGGCCTACGCTACTGACCCGTAACTCGAGTAGTGTCTAGCCAGTTCCTCCCTGGACCCACACTGGTTCGTTCAGCAACTGGGTCTGTTGTGCCGCCTGTGTCCTTGTGTGCGGCGAGCGTGCAGTGGCACATGTGGAGCAGGCGGCAGGAAGCAAGCTTCCCTGTCTCTCCAGACTGAACAGTGAATGAGGATAAGTGAGGAGCGCCAGTCAATGAATCAAGCAGCAGGAAGGGAGCAGCCAGGGGGGGAGAGTGACGTCCCCACGGGAGAGGCCTCGCATTAGGAACTTCCTTGTCTGTGTGTTTCTGGCACAGGTTAAATGGATCGCTCCCATTAGCGCGCTGAGAGGACAGCTCCATTATATGAAGGAGACTGTAACTTTGAATGTCACGGTGCAACAACCCCAGAGCATGCATCGTCTACCAGGGAGGCAGGGTGACAATAACCATCCATGATAATCATTCTCTGTCAGGCTTTAAGGAACCTGAAATTATGACGTACAGCCTGCCGTGGGCCTCAGACTTCATTACAGCGCTGTCACTTTGAGGCGTTTGAGATGGCACTGTGCTTCACAGCCGGCTGCAGCAGCGTGGCTGCCAAACCTCACTCTCACTCTCCTCCAGTCTAAGTGGCATGTTTACAGGATGTGTGCCCCCCTGCAGCTGGATGTAGTGGAGGTTAACCTCCAGGTGCCTGCAAAGCATTGCTTTTCCTCCGTGTCTCATGAGAACGTTTGCTGAATTGTTTACAGATGCAAGAGAGAGTATGACTGATCAAAAGCCACGCTATGACAACTAGCCCTCCTTCTATTGTGACAAAATGGTAATGCAGAAATTAGAATTCAGCTTCCACGTCATAAAAACTTCATACAGGTTTTGTCTTTTAACTTTCATTGCTATTAGTGCCCAGAATGCATAGAGATGTTGCATTTATGAAAAGCCATAAGCATGTTTATAGCGACTTGTTTGTCAGCCAAGGAGAACATCACCTCCAGACTGACCTCTGAACCTGCCATCCAGTGGAGAAGACAGGAGTTGGCAGGCATTGCCAATGTCAGTGCCCAGAGCAGACTCCTTCTTTCTCACCGCCTGACTCATTCATTGGCTTTATGGCCTCCTCTCTTTGCCACCTCCAATCACAGGATTCTGAATGACACATAGAGGGTGAAGTGGGCCCACTTACCACCCCTCCGCCTTCTTCGAACCTGCGTAGCAACAGGCCAAATGATATTTAATATACAATTTAATATGCAATATACCCCGTGCACCTTCAAATGCATTTAGGAAGAGGATAGTTTTATTTTTGTAAGGAATTGACAAATAGATATCTAACATATTAATGCTACAATTCATAAACATAAATCTTATATATATACACCATATTTTCTGGCGTATAATTCGCACTGTACAAGTTGCTAGAGTAAAAAAAGCATCACGAAGAGGAAAAAAACATAAGTTGCATTTAAAATGTGTCACCGCTGAACCGTCACATTTATTATGCATTTATTTAATGGTCAAAACTGCTTCATTTTGCCTGGGTGGCACGGCGCCGTTCATCCATCCATCGTGGCCAGAGCCGCTAGCTCTCCAGCGTTCGTCTGCCTGCTCCAGCTGAGTGAAGCGAGCGCACACAGGAGCACTTGCTGTTGCAGTTCTTAGAAATTTAAAGCGTCAGTCAAAAATTGTGTTATGAATACGGAAAAAAAACGTATATAAGTCACTTTAGCTTATAAGTTGCAGGACTGACAAATCTATGCAAAAAATTGACTTATACGCCAGAAAATATAGTAAGCCTTTTATTTTATTTGATTTTTGTTTAACTGTGAACTTGACATTTCACACGTTTGATTTTGTTATTTTTGACACAGCCACTGAGAGCAGTGTGGTCTTTGTGGCCAGCCCTTGGCTAGAACATAAACACTTTACACACCCTAACACAACTGTTCTTTTCCTCTCTGATGAGCAGTTTTTTCATCAAATGATTGTGTGCAACTTCAAATGTACCTTCACCTTCTCTTCAGAAAGTGGCAGATGCAACAAATAGGCATTATGTTAAGTTATTTTTGCATTTTATGTGTTGGGTATTTAAATTAAATGAGGTCAGTTGTACAGAATAATATAGAAATGGCCATACTTCTTTTAAAACTGTCATCTGAGGATGTCTTTTCCATCTATCTGTATGAGGTCTGAGAAAAATTACATGAAAAAATGCCTAGTTGCTGTTTACACAAAGAGCACCGTTCTGCCCATCAGAACAGTCAGTTAACTGCCTGTTTTTTCTTCACCTTTGTTTTGTAGCACCTTGACACAGCACATACTGACTTCTATGCAATTTGACTGAAATGTTGATTTAAGCCCAAATTGCAGTTTACTTGCGTAGCGCCACTGTTAAACCAAACAGAAGCTTTGTTTTGCCCTGAGCACTAGAACAATGTTAGAGCTACATCACAGACTGCCAGCCCCCTAGGTGACTGTTCTTCCTTCGTTTTGCTCCGTGGAGTTGATATCATTTATGGGTATGTATGTGGGTGTCTATAAGAGACTGAAAGGGCTTATTTGTTTTCCCCCTCATTGCTCTTTGACTTCTTTTCCCCCCACGAACGTGTTTGAAACATTATTATCTCTGTCCAGACGCCTTTTTCGCAGCGAGTTATTGAATCATGTCAAGTCGCTGTCCCCTGAGTTTCAGATGCAAGCTGTAGAAAAATTAGCCATTGCTTCCGCATGGCAAGTGGGATCTATTAGAGTTGCTCTCATCCTGTGGAGCATGAGCATCCATGGGGCCGCAGGGGGCCTCGGCTGGGTGTGCGATTGTCTGCGCCAGAGTCCTGGGGCATTAGACCAGTGCTGTAGACAGGACAGGCAAAATCCAAGTAGCTGATTAACCTGAAGGGGTGATGATGGTCTTAATAAATTATGACTTACGCAACTTTGATGGATATTTACTATTGAGTAACCCGAGTTATTTTAATTAGATTGTTTTTTTTCTGTCATGCTCTTTCAAATACTGCTACACCCCACCTCTTTTGTCTTTTTAGATAGACTAACTAACGCTGAGGTCAAGTTCCTCCATTCCCTTCAGGGTCACAGGCTTAGTCATGTGCTCGAGCCCGATCCGTGTGGCTACTCAACACATTAATATTCCAAACTGTGTTTGTTCCTTTTTTTTAAATGCCCTATCCGTCCTGCAGAAATTAAAGTGTTAGCCATCTTGACACAGTCCTTCCACCTAAGTGAGCACGGTCACTCAGCAGAATATCATATAATATGAAGTTTGCATAAAATTTGTATGATGTTTATTTAGAATCTTTATTTTTTCTTTGCAGGTATCTCAGTAGCAAAGAAGACACACACTTGTAAGTACTTTTTTTAAAGATTATTCCACAATAATAAATCAGCTAACATGTCATTAAATTATCTTGATTGCTTCCAGTTTATTTTATCCACATCATTGCATGTATTTTGTTTTCCTTTTCATACTTTATACAAAAATCATTTTTGCCAGACTGGCTCTGTAATAACTAAATACTGACATACATGCCATGCACTCTTGCTGCTTTGGATTTCTTCAGCCCCACACTGGAAACAATGTGACGATAACCCCAGAGAGGAAATTAAAATGATGTGCAGTCTTGTAACTGCTAGATAATCATGCACATTTGATGCAGGCGGTGTAAAGAAAGCATCTCTTTGTTTCCTGCAAGGCCTTGCAGCTGAACAACAAGGATGTGGTGTTGTGTGGTGGTTTGTAACTTCTGAGGCTGCACTAACTCTCAGACTTTGTCTTCTTCAGTACATATCACCATAATCTAAACATACAGAGAAAGTCTGTGACACGTGTCTCAAAGATAAGATGCAGGCCTTTTCTTCGAATGCTACAGTAACACTGTGGTTTTCAAACTTTCAATTTCACTGAGCACGTTAAGAATTGATGAGCAGCCGAACCTGCAGGAATCAATAATCTCCTGGTGATTTGTATTTTGACACATGTGAAGTGCAGTTGAAAATGCATGTGCAAACACTTAGTGTGGAGTTCTGCTGTGTGTCCATGTATGCAGCTACAACCGTGTGTGTGTATGTGTGTATTCCTACCCCTCTGTGCCGATGGAAGAAACTAGCCCTAAAGGCTATTCTTTTTGCTCTGATCACTCTGATGAAACTTGTGGAGAGGGGAAGCCAGAGGGCTTTTCTGTAAGAGTGGTCGGAGTGTTTTAGATTGTGTGAAGCTGCCTCTCCTCTTGTAAAACACCTCATCTCTCTATTACATCAGACAGTGGGGCAAAGGATATGATCTTCAATGTGAGACGGCTCTACTTAACTCAAACAACCATCTCCAACACTAGCAATATGATTGTGTGCTAGGCCGTTTGCTTGTTTGTCTTTTTTTTTTTTTATCATGTGAATGTGTGTGTTTAAGGTAGAGGGGACTACTTTAACCTATATTTCCTACCCCACTAACTTCATTAGTGCGACTCCTATTAGCACCTTCACGCTGAAAGAGAGACTCAAATCAAAGAGCATGATTCAGGAGTCTCGGGTTCAAAGCTCTGGGCAAAAACTGGACTCGGGCGTCTAATTTCAGTTAGAAATATTCAAACCTTAACCGAGTGAGGAAATCAAAGTAAACCCCCTTAACAAGTGGTTGATTGCTGTGCCTCGCAGACAGGAAGTGGCTGCAGAGGCTCATCAGAGCTGTGTGTTCAGAAGAAGTTCAAGGGCCAGTTAATGGTCATTGAGATGGTTAAGGGAAGTTTTTTCTTTAGAGAAGCCTGATGGTGTAATAATGAAGGAGATGTGTCTGCCCTACGTGATTATAGCTACCCAGTAGATCTATTTCTGTTCTTGGAGTGAAAACATTGGCTTCCCTGATAACGGCAGTCCGCTCTTGTAATGTGAGCTGGGCTGTCTCGCCTGTGTGTGTGTGTGTGTGTGTGAGTTTCCGTGTGTATGTGTGTTTTGGAGGTCTTACCAGTCCAACCCAAACCACAGGGATGGGTCGTGTATCGCTAACTCCCCACTCTGCCTGAGTGATCAAACTGCTGGAAGCTCCCCACCATGCCAGTCCCCTCATCAATATAAATTACAGGGGCAGCTGTTCGCTGGCAGCCTCCTCTCCTTTCTGTATCCTCTCCTCCCTCTACCCAAATGCACTAATCATTGAGCCATCAGTAGGTGAACAACTCAAGATGAAAACAGATACTTATCATTGCTTCACAGGCTGTGATGTCCATTCTTTATGCGGTCTTAATGTAGATTAATTGTCTTAGCAGCCCTTGACGCACTTACTTCACTTTATCTGTCTACCGCTCTGTCTTCTTTTCCCCAAATGGGGCAGCCCCTCTCCACTCCTGTTTTTTACCACAAGGCTTTAATTCTCAACAACAACTCAGCTGTGGTTTTCCTGAGCATGTCCTTGGCAGTTCTTACATATTATGCTCTCATATATAGTGTTTTAGAAGCATCTGATGTATCTGTCAAACACCCCATGCAGAAAAAAGATGAAAGCAATATAATTTAATTTTACGTTAGGGTTTTCTTTTTCTTGTTACTTTGATGGTGGACACCAGATACTCACCGTCACCGCCTTCTGCCTCGTCGAGGCTGTGTTTCTCTGAGATGAGTTTCTGTTTGGGCCTGTTCAGAGAGGTGATGCGGAGTGAAGGCTCAGATGCTGCAGCTGATTATGCTGAGATTAGACGTCTCACCTCTAATCTCCCATCAGCAGTCTGGGACTCTGTCACACAGCTCGTGTTGCAGAAGACTAGCCAACACACACACACACACACAAACAAGTCATGTAGACAGGATGCTCTCTATTGAAGAGAGCAGATCTCTCCTGATTACTTAGAGCAACAGTCCTCTCACTCTCTTGCAGTTTTACAATAAACCAATTGTTGTGCATTTGGACCACAACAGTACAAAAATACACTGGTCCCCCCCCCCCCCAAAAAAAAAGCATGGTCGCAAAGTATACTAAAATAAATACATAATAAAACTAATATATAAAATACACTTTAGTACAACAACACTAAAACCCATGTCTTTTAATTTTACCATTAGGATGACTGGAGCAACTTTCTGCTTGATTTAATAAAAGCAGAAAAATACCATTATCACAAATGTGCAATGTGCAATTATTTATGTCCTATTCATAGTGCATTTTGTATGTAATTACACTGTATTTCACAATTCTCTGAATTATTTATTTCCAGTTTATGGTTTAAGCAATGTGTGTCTGAGTTTACGTTGAGAATAGATCAGCCAGGGGGAGGCAGCAGTACAAATGCATCTCTGGGAAACGAGAAATTCAGACAGACGAGGTTTCCTCTCCTCAGTCTTACACAAATGCGTTTTAGACAGCTGCAATTTCTTTCCGCCCTCCATAGTATTTATCTCCATTGTGTTGACAGACTTCTTTCACTGATTGAGAAACATGGCTTTGCTCCTGCATCATCATTTGTTTGCTAGCATCTTGTATTGAGTTTCTCTCATCAGTGTTGCACATTCTCATAGTTAAAGTACAACATTTTTTATTTTATTTTATTTTTTTACATAGCTGTGATTTAGATTCTTTTGTACATCTGTAGGAAAACATTGCAGAATTACAGAAAACGTTTTGACATTTACTGAGGCTCACTTCAAGTGCAAAATCTGGAGTTAGTAGACTTTATACTTTTGCTTATTTAACAGTTATTTTTGTAACTTTTTATGTTTATAGATCATAAAGAAGTGTCTGGTGTATATATCTGGAAAATTACCAGCCATACAATTGCAAATCATTTTGTTGTGTTCATATAAGACAGTGCCAGCATTTGCAGTTGAAAAACATCTGCTTTACTGTTAAAGAAGAGGTTTTGGATTTATTCCCTGAATCAGTTTATTCAATATTTTTTAACAAATTTTGCAATTTTAAAGGAGACAGAACTCTACACTAAGAGGAGTTGTTTAGTCTGTTTAGAAGATAATGTACCTATTATTTATGCACTGTTTGACTTTAAACCCTTTCGTTCTTTATTTACTTACATCACAAACCACATCCACCTGTTGGTAGTTTAGGACTTCTTAACACAAAAAATAAAACTATCTTGCATTCAAATATTTAGCTCTTAAGGTGTTTAGAGAGATTGTTCAGATCTTTTAAAGTGGGGTTCTGTGGAAAGGTTTTGTGATATTAATATCTTACCTGTTGTAGATGTCTTTGAACAACCTCACTTTGGTGAAATAGATTTTAATTTTGACTGGTTTGATGAGCTGGGAGCTTGTTCCCGAAGTGATAAAACCATAGTGTATTTCTGTCATTTTAAACTCTGTGTTTAAAAGTTTTATAGCAGTTCTTGTTGTGCAGTCGCTGTTTTATAAAGCTTTAAATTACTATCAGTTTGTGTTAGATACATTTGAACAGATATTGTGAAACTACAGATGTGCCTCTCAAAGTGCTGCCTCCAACTGTTTGTTCTGCTGTTTGCACCTGCAAATAATCACAGAATAGTAAAGCTGTAAAGAAAAAATGATGGTGGTATAAAAATGTATAAAATAACCATGAAACATTTACCATACCACTTTATTTATATTTGACATTGCGGAGGTTTTAAAACAACAGCAATGCACTTTGGTCTTGGCCCAACTCAGACTAGCTGTTAGCTCATCAATCCTCTGAATAAGAAAATATATAGAACAAAGATAATAATCAGAATAAAACCCAATTTCTCTAAACTGATAAATAGTGTAGTGTTATCTACAACAGGTTAGATAGTTACTACAGTAGTCCCTCGCTACTTCGTGGTTCGACTTTCGCAAACGTGCTCTTTCACGTTTTTTCAATGTAAGATTGTACACGACACACGATTGTCAACTTTAATATTATTCACGTGATTGGGACGGTACGGGATAAAAAGTTAACCAAAAAACAGACTTCGGACAGACGCCACCATTTTGTAGTTTTCTTTCAATAAGCCTGTAACGCACGTCCAAAGGACTACACTTCCCAGAAGCCAACAGTGCTTTTGGCCACTGCTTTCGGCTAAAATGGAGGGAAAATTTTGCAATGCAAAGTCAGAAATAACGATTGATCTATGAAGCTCACAGAACTGGCAGGGAAGTCGCAAATAATCCTGAAGCTTCCTGAAGCTCAATTATCCACGCACGCATCAACCTGGATGGAACGATGGGCTTCGTTGCTGCAGGGTAGGTCTGCAGAACTGGAACCAAGCCCGACTGGAACTGAGCTGTGGTTCTGCAGAAGTGGTGAATACCCATATGCATTTTGCAGTACTGTACAGTACATATATGTATGTTGTTAAAATTATGTCAGTTTAAGAGTTTAGGACAGGGGTCTGCAACTTTTACGATCAAAAGA